TAAAAAAAATAGTCCCTTACACTTCTCAGAAAATATTTGAGAATTGATTTCGACTTGTATAAAATCGTTTGCAGTTGAAGGATATATTTACCAGATTCGTGGGACTTGAATAATTATCGCCGGTGATGGAATGTGTATACTGACCAAATATGCCACTCTTTGGTCGTCTGATTCGACAATAGATTTGATAAATTTGACCTGAAAAAAAATTTGAATAAAATTAGGAATGAATTTTTCAAATCATTGACCTATAACAAAATATGTAAATAAATTTGTGAGTTCTTTTACGTCGCAGTCGTCGTTGTTTCGTTGCCCGTAATAAGAATCTTCCACAACGCACAAATCGTAAGGGACTCGATTTGTGAAAGATGATACCAGTATAGAGCGGGTTGGGTGGATCCATTATTTATAAAATCAGTCTTCTCTGTGAAGGCCACCCGTGATAAATCTGAAGTGCCTGTGATGAATCTGAAGTATCTGAAGTACTGATGTTTGATAGACAAGCCTACCCGTGATCAATATAAAGGACTAATGTTTGATACAGAGATGAGCTTCACGTGAATATTTCAGAGACGATGGAATATTTCAGAGACGATGGAGACGACATAGAAGGACATGAAAGAATGCACAAGAGTTGAAAGTAGAGATACAACCTGCCAAACAGGTTTTCATACTATAATTTGAATTCACACGCGGAAATCTATTTTCAGTGTTCTATCCAAACGTGAAGCGCGAGTTTATATGTTGAAAATTAATTTGAAAATACAACCAAACAGACCCATAAATTTTGAAATTTGAACTGCCATTAACAATTAGATGCGAATTAATGTCAATCAATGCGATTTTAACAATCGTGCAGTATTTTATATTGTCTAATTCTAACGCCCTCCTCACTCCTCCCATAAAACCATTTCTCGATTCTCTGGAAATCCAAATGGCTCCAATCAAGCCCCCCTCAAACTCAGCTGCTCACACCTCTCACGACGCCCATCTCCTCGTCCGCCAAACTCTCCGAATCAGCGCCAACCTCGCCTCTTCCTCCTCCTCCTCCTCCTCTCCGCCGGCCAACTTGGGGTTTGTGGAGGAACAATTTGTTGATTCGACCTTCAGATTGATTTGTTGCGAAGAGATCGATGGTCGCCGCTGGAACTACTTCGCCGACAATGGCCCTTCCAACCAATTCAACATGCCTTCAATCCGTGCCGTCAGTTTGCAAACCCCCCAGGCCCCTGTTCAGGTCTGTTTCTTCTAATTTCTGTTTTTAAATTATTATCATTATCATTGTTTTCTGCAATCTTTTCAATTTTGTTCTTTTATCATTACTACAGTATTGTTAGTCTACTTGATTAATCTCAACTTATTAAAAGCTAAAATGTGATAATAATGAGGTTTTTTTTCCTTCTTTTTGTTTTTCTAAGCTATTATAATAACCACTAAGCAAAAACTTTACCAAATAATCTAGCATAATTCACAGAATATATAATATATAAAACTGCACCAAAAAATATTAATATATGTTAAAAAAATATCAAACAGCTGTTTGTTTATTTGAGCTGGTTATAAGTTTTTATGTTATGGAAGTCTGTGTGTGTCAGATTGTTTAAGTTGAAAAAAAGTTGATTTATGAAAGCAGGATTTAGCTTCTACTTTTGGATTATCAGCACCAATGGCCGTGTTTGGTGTAGCTTTTCTTAAATTAAAAGTTGATAATAAAAAAGCAGAAGCTAAAAACATTCTTTCCCCAGCTTTTAAATAATTAACTTTTTTTCAGCTTATTGAATTTTTTTTGGCCTAATAAACTATAAGTTATACCAACCAGTCTGACACAAGCACGGACTTTCAAATTAAAATAAGTTATAATTACTTCCTAAAAGCTATATATATACTGATTATGATACTGTCAGCTTCTGATTTAATCCCCGTGTTGTTTGGATTGAATATGTGGTGCAGGAGTTGGTGTCATTCATAAGATCCTATGTTGTGCCAGAAGGTTTCCCTGATAGTGTAACCCCATCATACGTGCCGTACATGACATGGAGGGCTTTGAAGGTATTTCATTGGAACTATTAAAACCAGGCTGTTATTTTCTGGGGCATAAATGGCTACTCACTTGTTAGTAATTTTATAGGTTGCATTGGGAGATTGAGGGAAGGGATAGAATCATGCATCCACTAGAGTACTTTGCAATTTTGTTATGTTTGGATCTTGGATTTATTAAGGGAGGAATGGAAATTGCCTTTGCATATACATTTTTTATTTTAACCCAAAAAATTTGAAAAGTTATTTTTTTCCCCCTTGACAAATACCTATTATTTAGCGTCTTTTACTTCATTTTCTTTTTCTATCTTTCCCTTTCTTTTTTCATTTCCCTCCACAAATTCAATATTTATTTATTTTTATTGGCACCGGGGTGCTTGGATCAAAGTCAGACTAATCCTCAGGGGTGCACTAGCCCTCAACAAAGAGTTTCCTACAAGTGCACCACGGTTAATTTAAGGGTTTTTCACAAATTCAATATTTAAACGTAGAGTTAGAATCCTTAATGGGGAACGATTCAAATAACCCTTTTTAGCTTCTTCTTTTTGGGTCATATCATATCCCAGGTTCATGGCTTCTATGTCCATGATATATTGCTTTTAAAATCTATTAGCATAGCTTTTCTGCATGTAACTCAAGACAATTAAATGAAATTTTTTGATTTACTATTCCAAATGCAACCTGTGTGTGGTTTAGTATGATAATTTGATTCATATTGATAGTCCTATGTTGTCTTTTATGTTTTTGGTGAGAGCCTTGTGTTGTTTTGATGTTACTAAATGCTGTAATAATGATTAAAACATTTATTGTAGCACTTCTTTGGTGGAGCCATGGGTGTTTTCACAACACAGACACTTTTGGGTTCAGTTGGAGTCTCCAAACACAGAGCCACTCCTGGTGCTATAGCTATCAATTGGATTCTCAAGGTATGCTGATGTTTATTAGGGATGACAATTTAAACCTGGCCCGACGGGGACCCAATCCCCCGACCCTGATGAGAATGGTTTTTTCCCGAAAAATACCCCCGTGGGGACGGGGATGGTATTCAAAATTAAAACCCCGATCAGTTTCGGGCCGGGGACGGTGATCAGTGTTCAAGCCCCGGCCCGTCCCCGTTCTCGGCCCCGAATTTTCCCTGAAGCAAAATTACCATTTTACCCCTCATATATATATATATATATATATAAAATCAATCCTTTCACAGTTCACTCACACAAGCCTCACCTCACACTCACACTCACACTCACTCATCATCAACGCCTCTCATCTCTCTCGATCTCCCTCTCTCTAAAACCTTCTGCCGATCTCCATCTCCCACCGCCGATCTCCACCCTCCCTACGACTCTCTCTCTTCTCCCTTACAAACCCACTGCTCTCTCTCTCTCTTCCCTCTACTATCTCTTCCGACGCTATTGTCCGACGTCGACTCGATCCTCCGATCTGAGACTGAGATCCGCCATCGTCCCTCGCTAGATCTTCGCCGTTGACAACTCCACCGTCTCTTTTTCTTCTCCAACGGCGGTGAGACCAAGCTTGCCGAATCACCGCCACCATCACCGACCAAGCTTCGCCGATCTGACAGTGACACCATCCGGCGATGAGGCCAAGCTTCGTGAATCTCCGCCGCGACCCTCACCCTAGATCTGGAATATTCTCTCTTTGTCTCTCTCTTTCGATTTGTTATATATATAATATATATATAGTATATTTAAATAGATCCCTCTCTTTCTATGTTTATGTTGTTGTTGTTGATGATAATGAAGAACAAATCTGTTAGATCTGATTTTTTTTTTTTTTTGAGCTCATCTCATCAGATCTGTTAATGGGTTGGATCTAACTTTTTTTTTTGTCCGGGAAATTTTCGGGGTCGGGGAAGCCCGATCCCCGTTAGGGGGCGGGGGTGGGGGTGGATTTAGGGTCCCCATCGGGGATCGGGGCCGGGGACGGGGGGATTTTCACCGTCGGGGATCGGGGATGGGGAGTGTGATCCCCGTCTCCGCCCCGCCCCGTTGCCATTCCTAATGTTTATATAGTTGCCATTTGGATTACTTGTTCATGTTTGAAAACACTTTGTTGCTTGGGATTTGACATCTCTTTTTGGAAAGCACTATTAATAGCATGAGATGGTAAAATCTGTTTCTCAAGACTTCTTTACCTTCTATATAGTTCTATTTATCAGGTAGACTTATGCTTTTATTATCTTTAACTGAGATCTAATTGCTTGGACTCAATCATGTGGAATTTCAATGCTGTTATCATTGTTTTCTTAAACGTACGGTATGCTTTGTAGCTCAGCTTTGGAGATCTTCAGATGGTTAACCCATACAAAGCACTTAATTGTAAATTAGGTCTCATAATCCTTGAGCTCAAGGGTTTTATTTAAGGTTTTGTGTTTTTTCTGTTTGATATTTTGAGAATTCAAAATTTGAGGGAGCTATTGTAGTTTTTTTCCTTTTTTTTTGAACAGAGGAAATTAAACAAAAGGCCAGCTAAACAACTACCAACAAATGTTTTAAACCAGGAGTTATTTTAGGTTGATTATAGATTCTTTGCAATTAAAAATGTTCCATATGTGTTTTATTCTCTATAGATAGGCTGGAACTAACTTAAATAGTTAAAATTGTCTGAGTTGTTATACTGCTCTCCTTGTGTAACTCGTATGAAAACAAATGAAGACGAAACCCAACCAAACAACCGGCACTTGGTTTTACCTTCTGCCTAAAAAATATAGAGGGAAAATACAAATCAGTTGCACTTTCAAAAATTAATTACTAACGCATGAAAAAGTTTGTCCGTAATAATTAAAATCTATAAATTTTATCATTAATTTGATTTTTTTTTTCAAAATACCCACTGATATGTTAGTCACCCAAAAATATAATCACACCACTTTTTTTTTCTTCTTATCTTTGAAAATTTTCATCAAAACTTGAGTGCTCTCTCTCTCTCTCTCTAATTTTTTTTTTTGTTGGCTTCCAAATCTCTTACAAGATAGTATATGGGAAATATTCCAAACCAACTTTTATTAGGAAAAAAAATATGCCTCCTAAGCAGAATAACTGCAAACAAAGCAGAGGTTGTGGAAGATTTTAATAGCGATTTGTCTAAATTTGATCTGTAGTCTCCATTGGCAAATTAAATTTTAAAAAATATATATTAGGCTCATTTGAGATTAAATTCTTTATGCATGAAAACCCATAATAAAATTTCAAGTCTATTGTTAATTTGATTAAAAAACTTTACTGCCTTATGAATCATGATACTTTTACTGTATCTAGCATTGTGGCTTTACATGCTTCCTTTGGAGTTTGAAGCTTGCTTATTAGAGGTATTAGATATGATTTTGTTAAATACATCATATGCTTTATTTATAGGATGGTGCGGGTCGGGTTGGAAAAATGCTTTTTTCTCGGCAAGGGACGAAATTTGATTATGATTTGAAACAGGTAAAATTTCTCTCAATCATAGTTATTCTTGTGGTTGATTTTCACTGAACTTAGTTCTGATTTCTAACAAGTAATCTTTGCTGAAAATCATGATTCCCTTCAGCTTCGTTTTGCGGGTGATCTTCTAATGGAGTTGGGTGCTGGGGTAGAGTTGGCAACAGCAGCTGTGCCACACCTTTTTCTGCCTTTAGCTTGTGCTGCCAATGTGGCCAAGGTTCAACTCCTCTCTCTATCTCTCATTTTCTTCCCATTTTATAAATTCCGTCTGATCTATCATCTATGTGATGAATTAGCTTTATTGCTTTATTTTCATATTGTTTCACTTGCAGAATGTTGGTGCTGTCACATCAACCTCGACTCGCACTCCAATATACAAAGCCTTTGCCAAAGGAGAAAACATTGGGGATGTTACTGCGAAGGGAGAATGTGTTGGCAATGTTGCCGATCTGGTATGCTTCTCCAACTTCAATTACATTTTCCAGAATCTTGTGTTTGCATTGGGCCAATTGAGAACATATTTTGATGGCTGCTATAGTGATTGTTGACACATAGTTAAATTGAACTGCATTTTTGTGCTTCGTTTCCAGTCCTAATATTATTTGGTATGTTAAACGGCACCTCATTGTATATGTTACCGCTATTCGATATAAAAATTAAGACCCCCCCCCCCCCTCCCCTTCATTTCCACTACTAATATTATTTGGTATGTTAAATGGCACCTCATTGTATATGTTACCGCTATTCGATATAAAAAATAAAACACACCCCTCCCCCCCCCCCCCCAAAAAAAAAAAACCAAAAAGGCGGGGGGAGCTTTCTCTCGCACCAAAGGGCCAAGCAATTCTTTGAATACCCACAGAGGCACACGGTGGTGACGCGGTGCAGAGAGAGAGAGAGCTTCGGAGATGAAGCTGCAGGTGGTGTTGGTCGCCGGTGACAACGACGGCGCCTGGAGTGGCAGTCATGGGCTGTGAGCAAGCTGGGTTTTACCCCCGAGAGAGAGAGAGAGAGGTCTGTGTTTATTCATCTCCGAGAGAGCTCATGCCAGAGGGAGTGAGAGAGAGCCTTCGACATCGGTGTGAACTTCAAGAATTGGAGCTTCAGAAATCAAAAAAAGCCCAGGAAGCTACAGTACTTGCTGCAGAAGAATCTGCTAAATCTCAAGTTGCAAAAGAAGTGATAAAGTCACTTTACAGCACAGATCAAAGATATGGCCGAGATGCTGCCAACTGGGGTCTATGATGCAGATCGCATGAAGACAATTTACCTACCAAATGGTTTGGAGCCAAATGGTATTCACTACCCTGACGCAAATAGAGAGAGCTGCCGTGGAAGTGGTTGATCTTTGTATGTAGAGAAGTCGCCTCTGGTGGCGGCGAACTGGAAGCTATATCTATTGATAGAGATGACAGCGGAATAGGTTGAGGTCCGGCGGGCGGCCAAGGCGAGGTTGCCGCCCGCCGGGGAAGCGAAAATACTAGGTTCTAAACCTGCTCTGATACCATGTAGAAAAATTTAATGTATAAAGAGAAATAGAGAATTGTATAGATATTGATTGTATTATTGATTGTTGTATTTTGTGTTTACAATGAGTCCTATATATAGAAGATTTAAAGGAGGTAGGTATGTAGTAGGTGGAGTAGTAGGTGGAGAGGAGGTGGTAGTGGTGTAGTGGGTTAGGTTTAGTGGAGTAGGTTCAAGTGGTGCGTTTCACACCCTTTTGTGACGGTATTTTATTTTAAAAATGAAAAAATAAAAATAGAGCAATATGTTATATTGTAACATTTCGACTTCGACACTGGACCATCATTAGATCAGTGAGCTGAGACTTGTGTATGGATTGATGTAATTTCACTTTCTGTTGATATATTGTTCTATTTTGTACGTACTTACGTAGTAATCATCTTTCAGTCAAGCTACTGTTGTTGAACCTTATTTTTGTTTGAAGTTGGGAACCGGATTGAGCATCATGATCTCAAAAAGAAATCCATCTCTAGTTACAACATTTGCCCTCCTTTCTTGCGGATACGTTCTTAGCTCTTACCAAGAGGTTTGACATTGCATATGTAGTTATCATTCTTTTCTTTTATATACTTCAGAATCTGTTCCCTTCTGTTGTGGTAATTGACATTTGCCAAGTTTACCATTTCTTTTTCTGTGTTTTTGTCAGGTAAAATCTGTTGTGTTGCATACATTGAATAGGGCAAGATTAACCGTGGCTGTAGACTCCTTCCTTAAAACAGGTTAGGACAAGTGCTTCACCCAGCTATGCTTATGGTCATTGTTGATAGTTCTATTATGTGATCTTCTTATTTGATTTTCAAGTCCTATTTACAAAGCAAGCAAATGCCTTCTGTTTAATAACTAGTGGCTTAATTGTGCTATGTATTGTTTTGCAGGGAGAGTTCCAACACTACAAGAGGGAAATAGAATGGAAAATATATTTAGTTTTCCATGGTCGAAAGATAGTCCTATTGTTCTTGGTATGCGTCATGTAGATAGCACAACCTGCTGCAGGTCTACATTTATAGATCCCTTGATTTTAAACTGAATTTTGTTATGACTATTGAGCAGGACCGAGATTTAAGGATGCATTCCAAGACCCAAATTCATACCTTGCCATAGAGCCCATCTTTGAGGTATTGTGTCCTTTTTAGGGGAGATATCTCACAAGCTGGGAACTCACTCTCTGTTTCTCTCATGTGCGTTCTTTTCAATTACCTTCCCTCTTCTCACACATGATTTCAAGTTCTTCTCTTTATATATATTTCTTTGATTTTTACAGAAAGAGAGGTATATAGTAACATACAACCCTTCAAAGGGAAATATATATGCATTGCTCAAGGATCAAGCAAAATCAGATGACATTTTGAAAGCAGCTTTCCATGTGAGAATCTCAATTCTTTGTGTTATATTGCCAGTAATTTAGTATAGTTGTGTAAGATGATTTCACCTTGAATTACAGGCTCATGTGCTTCTGCATATCATTCACTCATCAAATCAGAATCAGCCTCCTTATAGGAAGCATCGAGAAACTGATCATTCAGTGTCTATGCGTTCTATTCCCGATCTTCAATCTCATATTACTGAATCTTATAAGATGGTCTCAGCTTTATATGGGCCTTTCAAGAGCAAAGCTACAGAACAGGTAGGATGAATTTTTATAACTTGTTTTTTTTTTTCATATTTAATCAATATTGACTCATTAGCTAAAATGTGTGAGTTTGCCCTGTAATTTTGCTTAATGAATGAAGATTAGTTATGAATTATATAAAAACAAACTGAGAGATTAGGAAGATAAGATACATAATTGTCCATTCTAAAAGGTTTATCCGTGTTATCATCTGCTAGTAAGCGATTTGTGATCCAGTTTGCATAATTCGAAATATGGGGCCTGCACTAAATTGGTGATGAGAGTTATTGTTTCTTTCACTCTATGTTGCTGATATAAAAAATAACGAACTGAACATTTAGACTTTAAATTTTGGGAAAAATGCTAACCATACATTATGAAGTACGGACACCTCTCCGAGGGCTCCGTACCAATGTCAGACACGTGTTGGACACGGACACGCGGTGGACACGTGTCCGACACGCAGCAGAGAGTGTCCCATTTTTTTTTTTAATTTTTTTACATCCGGACACGTTTAGGACACATTATAGACACGTTTGGGACATGGGCGGGGGCAATTTCACATTTTACTAAATTTTTTTGGGGTCGATTTGAAAATAAGCAAAAACAGATTGGGGTTGATTTTCCCTAATCAAGAGAGGACCTGACTCTACTTCGAATAGAAGAGAAACAACAGAGAAAGGGTGAGAAAGAGAGGACCTAACTTCGTCGTTCGTCTTCTCTCCTCATCGATCGTCGCTCTTTGTTGGTCGTCTGTCGTCGGCCTGCGATCTGCGATCTTCGATCTTCAGTCGATCTTCTTCTTCGTTAAGGTACGACTCTTCTTCGATCTTCTTCTCTCTCTCTCTCTCTCAGCCTCTTCTTTCCTCATTCGATCTTTTTCGCTCTTCTGATTTCATTTTTTTCTTTTATTTTTTTTCTTTTATTCTGATTCTGATTTTAATTTTATTTTTTTCTTTTATTCTGATTTTAATTTAATTTAATTTTTTCTTTTCTTTTCTTTTTCTTTAATTCTGATTTTATTTTATTTTTTCTTTTCTTTTATTTTTTTTTATATTCTGATTTTATTTTTTCTTTTCTATTATTTGAGGATATAATTTTAATAACGTATGTTTATTAATTTTATTATAGGGACCAATTATTAATTCTGAAACAATGGCTACGGGTTGTATATTTTATTACCTTTATTTGATTTTTTTTAATAATTTTATGACATAATAAATAAAATTAATTATATATATTGAACGTGTCCCAGCATGTCGTGTCCTCTATTTTTTGAAAATTTACGTTTTTGCGTGTCCGTGTCGTGTCCGTGTCGTGTCGCGTGTCCGTGTCCGTGCTTCATAGACCATACATAACTCAAGAAACTCAAGAGAATAGTGCAAACAGGAAGCAAATTGTGTTGTGGCCTTGACATGGTCAACTCATGTTAGGTATTTTCTGCTTGGTACTTTTGAAGGACTTATCCTGCTTTCAGGAGCAAAAAATAAAAGCGTGTTTTTCCTAGAAAAGAAAAACTATTTTGAAATGCTACCCAAAAGTGCCTGATGTGCTGCTGCAAGTGAACATAGAAGTTGCTCATTTTAAAGACTAGCATCCATGATGGAGTGATAAGAAAAACATACTTGCATTTAAAAATTCCATCACAGTTTTCTGTTTGTGGAGCTGATACGAGATGCAATAGTAAAAATAGATATGGATTTATTTAATTTAACTAAGCATTTAGCCCTTGACATAGCATAATGATGAAATCATTTCATGTAGCTGAATCACTTGATTGGGACACAAGGCTTAGTATGGTTTGGGTTATAACTTTCCGTGTGTGAATAAATATTGGTACTCATCACTTGATTCATTATATTGGAAATTTTGAATAACAATATGCATTTTGCAAGAGATATGCAATGATTTTTCTCATAATTTTTAATGTTTGCAGGGTTGGGTGATGTCAGAGTCGCTTCTTAATCCTGGACGAGCTCGGCTATGTGATGCAGTTAATTGAGGCAATAAGGTCATGCTTCCATTTGTATGGAAAACTTGTGTTTGGGTGGGCAAGTGCTTGGTTCGCTTCTGATACTTTTGATAGTTCTGTGGACAAAGACCATGAAAAGCATGTATCTAACACCCCGGGGGCTTATAGCACCACTGGTATCATGGGAACTGTGATCGTTAGTAGTTCTCCATGTTAGTCACACAATGCTCTTAGCAATATGCTTCCTATATGATCAATCTGATGTAGCCAGAAGTTACCTTGATATATGTATGGCATCGGCTTTGTAGGTAAATATGCTGTTACCATAGAGGTGTAGAATGTAATAATGCACAAAACAAAGAGTACTTTTTTTTTTTTTTTTCTTCCTTCTGCTCATTGATTTTCATTTTTACTGTTTTTTTTTTCCCTTCCTAGAAAGCCTGCTGCGGTTTTTGTATATAATATGATATTTAGGGATGTTGAAATCATTTTTGACGGTGATGATTTCTCCATTTACGTTTTGTTTGGTTGATATTTACCTTTGATAATCAGCCATATAGCCTTGATCTCAGATCTTGTAATTTTGGAAATGTGAAGCGTATTCTGAGTTTTTACCCTTTCCTTTTTTTTTTTGGGGTGGAAACTTTAGGTCATGTGTCTTGTATTTCCTTAGACTGGGTAATTTATGGGTATTGGTCTAGGTTGTTTTGTTCCATTGTGACTTAAGTGTCATGAGTTCGATATATAGAAACTTTTTTTTGCTGTAGGGGTAAGCATGCATATATTTGATCAGACTGGGATGTAATTGTAGTTTTGGCAAGAGAAAGAAACATTGCCAAAGCATGTTCTTCAGCCTCCCTCATCAATTGCTGTTGAAGCCAGTGTTCTGTTCTCATTCCCTTTGCCGTAATAAAATGATTTTTCCTGCAAATGGGTCCAATTTTTGATCTACCAAATGAAATCGATGTTTAGGCTTTTTTGTCAAATTGTTTGGTGCAGTTTTGACTTATGACTTATTGGATGAAAATAATTTGAAGGAGAATGATACTTTTAACTTTTACTTTCAAATTATCAGTTTTTAATTTATAATAAATTTTATGGAACAAGTTCATTCTTTTTTTTATTCTTCATATAGAGACAGAGAGGAGTCGCCTAATAGAGGCTTTACATGTGTGGATTATAATCTTCCCCTCATTGATTGTAACAGCTAAGCTGATGCACCAATTGCATGATATACTCACGAGAGACCCTACCAAGAATACATGCCTACTCACAAACACAAACACAATCACAATCGAACCTTTAGCCTTTGTACAATACGACACACAGAGTCACAAACCTAAGCTACTCAACCACTATATAGACAGTACAGAGATTATATGTATATATATAGGTCCAGCTTGTTTCACGTTTGAAATCAAAACTGAAACATCCAATCGGGTTCATGGGTCTATTTTTGAGCACCGTTTTGATAATTTGAACCGTTCAATGTGTAGAACTCGTCCAATACTATATCTCTGCAAAAAATTACGTTGATCGGATATCGATAGTTATTTGATCGGATCAGATTTCTATCAACCGTATATTTTTTCCCCATCAATTTTTTTTATACAAATCTGATCTGATCAAATAGTTATCGATATCCGATCAACTTGATTTTTTACAGAAATATAGTACTCGATGAGTTCTATATATTTAACGGTTTAGATTATCAAAACGGGACCCAAATGGGCCTATAAATCGAACTGGATGGTCTAATCTTGATCTCAAACATTAGACAAGTTGAACCCATATATATATTAGTAGGTTGGCACACCCAGGAACGGAACCATGATTTTATTATCTAAAGAGTCAAAAGAATAATAATTTTTTTCATCATATACACAAATACACATGTATATAAAATATGATGTATAAATTATATATATACATAAAAAAATTATATATCATAGAAATAATCTCTAATAGAATGAAGAAGTTTTTTCAATGTAAAATAAAAAGAGAATGCAAGATAAGAGAAGAATAAAATATATATTTTTTATACTAAAGAGTTATTTTATATATAAAACGGTATATATTTTTAAACTAATATGATAAACAATATTTTTTACAAAAACAGAGAGATCATGTCTCCCTATAATCTCCTGCTGATTCCGTCCTTGAACACGCCATATCTGTGCGAGTGAAGCAATTAGATTGACTGTTACAAATTGGAATAGTAAAATAGGATTAGAGACTGTTTCAAACCCTTACAAGTGCTGCTCCAAATAATCTTATTTTATAATTGCGTAGATGTAATAATTTAGACAAAGACCTTCTTTGGTAGAGCCGTGAGAAAGTAATTATACCTTATATCTTAACAGTTTATAATTTATAACTATAAACATAACTGATTTTTAACTTATAAATTAAGCTTCTCCTGTCCTACTCAAAGAATAAGCTGATTTCTGACTTACAAAAAACTATAAGCTGAATTGTTAAGCTAAATCAAATACATCAAAATAATTTAAATTAAGTTGAAAGCTGAAATAAGTTAAAAAAAAAAACTGTACCAAACAAAATCAATAATGATTGAGACTCTTATTTGTAAAGATTCTTACAATTTTTTTAAAATTTCTACTATTAATTGTAAGAATCTCACACATATATAAATGAATTTCATATATATACCAATAATAAAGATCCGAAGAAAATTGTAAAAATTTTAAAAAAATTGAGAGTCTAAAGTATTTTTTTAGATATGATGTATTGGCAGAAATGCACGTGGGCAGATACGTCGTTTCAGTACAGCTTAGTCTTCAGCATAGCATAGCATAGCATAGCATAGAATTGGTATGTGTCCTCGTCCCATTAAATATCTTGGCCCTGAAGATCATGGTTCCTCATTTATTAGCACTTTTGGTTATGGGTAAATTAGTAAGTGTGATTAAAATATAAATTAATTAGTGATACTTTGTACGATGTACAAAAAAATCAATTATATATATTTTATATGATAAATAAATTATTTTAATTTTAAATTATATTTTAATAGTGACAAGTCATGATATTAAGTCATCTGAGTAGATGTTAATAATAATTAACTTACAAAATTTTACAATAAAATTTGATATGCATAAAAAATTATTAATTATAAAAATTGTTGAGAATAATAGTATCACAATCATTTGATAACATAAATAACTTATATCAAACTAAACAAAACATTAAAAGAGAGAAATTCTATAAGCTCAAAAAAGCTATCATAAATTTACTTGGACTTTTAAATCAATAGTGTATATTATTATTGTGGGATCAAATTATGAATAAATATCAACTTTTAATTATAATTTACAAGTAGCATTTAAAAATTTTTAATCTAAATTTGTTGTCTTGCTTATAAAAAGAATTTCTCAAACAAATCATTAATTGATTATATTAGCAACTCTCCATCTTTGATTTCTTCTAACACACGCATATAATATCAAAGTATAAAACTTTCTCCATAGTTTGAATAATACTTGCATAATTCCTATGTCATTTTAAAAAAATTAATCAAGATAAGAATTTCATAGTATTATAAAAATTATAAAAAAGAATATTTTTAATCCATTTTATTTATAAAAAAAATGATGAAAAATTATTTAAATTATACTTGAAGAAATATAACAAATGATAGCTTTAATCATTATATACCAAAATAAAAATTATATCGGTTACTCAACGAAAAAATGGTCGAATACAAATAAAGTCATGGGCAATGAATTAAATCATATGGGTTCTAAATTGATAGTATAATCTAGCAAATCAACTAATAATAACACAGAGATATTGACAAATATGTAGTACTTTCCTATCATCTTTGTATTATATTCATTAATTTCATATATTATATGAAAGTTTTATTCGTCTCAATCCTTCAATTAAATAAGGATCAAGAAAACAAATTTGATAAGAAGTTGATTCTAAGCTTAATTATTGAAAAAACAAAAATTTCAAAGAGAGAATTTAGAGATAGAATTGAAGAAATACTATAATGAATGACAACTTTATAAAAAAATAAAAATAAAAACATAACAATGATTTAATGCAAATTATTTTTAATAACTAATAGAAAGAATATCAAATTATTACCTTTTATAAATATAGTGAAGAAAATTAATTTTGCCTCCGTTTGGGAAGTGGGTTGGCTTTTTGGCTTTTTGGTTTTTTTGGACTATATGAGCCTGGGCTCAAAAGCTTAGTTTGGGAAGGGCTTTTGGCTTTTTGGCTTTTTGGATTTTTTTGTGAGAGAAGAGTGTAATGATTATGGGGTTGGATGGGATGTTTTGTCTGTTGTACCTCATGAGCCTATTCTGTCTTTTATGGCTCATTGAGCCAAAAAAGCCCAATGAGCCCTTGCCAAACCAACCCTTTGTGAGATTTTTGTGTTGTCTTCTCCCATGCAACTTTTATTATTTCATTATTAATACTTTTCTCATTAAGAGTTAATAATTTTTTTAAATCTTTATCACTTGGTAGATAATAACGAATAATAAAAATTATCAAGAGAATGTTAAAAATTTAATAGGAGATAAAAACTTATAGATAAAGACATTTCATAAGATAAAAAATTTAAAATAAAAAAAAGATAATATGTAATAGGAGAAAAAAATATGAGTAAATTAAAATAAAAATTTAGATATATATGTTTTTGATAGATAAATAGATTAACAAAAGGAGTAAATTATTTATGATTTTTTATATGTTTATTTATAATGAAATTAATTAAAGTACGAAATGGAAGGGAAAAAAAAAGGAGTAATTTCGTTTTTTTTATAAAAAAAATTAATTATTTAATCTTTATCTTTATTTGTAGGTCATGAAATTAATTTTTATAAGTTATTTATAAACTTTTATTTGTTTATTTATGGGAAGAAATTTTAAATTATCTATAAGTTATGAAATTAATTTTTTTAAATTAATTGTTTAATTTTTAACTTTATTTGTAGACTATAAAATTAATTTTCAGTTTTTATATGTTTATCTATATGGAGAAATTTTGAAATTCAAATCTTTATCTATAAGGAATGAAATTAATTTTAATTTTAATTAATCAAAAAAATAAAAAATAAAGAAAAATAGAAAACATGAAAGGCAATAAAAAAAGGTTGCCACATAGGAAAGTGAGAGTTTTAAAATTATGAGAATTTAGGAATAAATATTTGGAGGCGTTTGACAAAACAACTACATTTGGTTATATATATAATATACAAATTATTTTTTTAGATTTTGTTAAATGAGAGGGAGAAGTATGATTTGGATTGGGCCATGGTAATACCGGACATATTATGGGCCGAACACATTTGGGCCGTGGTATCCTGGGTCCACCCAGAAGCGATTTTTGCTCGGTAATGACAAAAGCGTGTGGAACCGAGCTACTTGACCTTGTCGGCACGGAGGCCGGTCAAGTAAGGGTTCTACGGTTTATGCGTTGCGCGATTGGAAAGCGCACATCCATAGCTCGGCAGGAAGACCTTTGGTTGACCGGTATGACTAATCTCAAGCTTGGCTTCGCCGGAATGCAGTTGAACACGGCTGGAAAGGAGCTCG